TTTCTACCCACATTAAGGGCTGCGCAGTCCATATTTTATTTTTGCTGACCTTATTGCTGAATACAAAAACGGTCCTGGCCATCTGCACCAGACCCTTTGGTTTGATATCTGAAGTCCTAATTTGCCACAGGGACATGATTAAGGTCCCCTCAGCAATGAAAACCGGAGTGTTGACCATGGTGTCTGCAGGCCATGTAGCTATTACCAGGGGGCCTAAATATCCCCAACCTCCAGTAATGTCCCCCAAGGTGCAAGTAGGCCACACCACTTCAGTCCCACTATTTGGATTCTAAGCAGGGAGGCCCATTTGGCCTTTCTTTGTGAGTCAATACAAAAGCCCTAGCAGCTGCACTAAGTGACGTATAAAGGAACGTCAGTATCCCAGTATAACCCAAAATTCTTGCTGCTGCCTTGGTGTGCATCGTAGGGACCGGGAACTCCTGAACCTTGTCTATTATTGCACTGTGTAGTACTTTGGTCTTTCCCAACCAAACTACCCAGGGATTTCACAGGAAAGCCTGGTCCTTGCACCTTTTTTGGATTTATAGTCCACCCTTTCTCTTGCAAATGAGTTAGTGAGTCTACTGCCTTTCCTAATGCCCCCAGTGAGTCAGATGTCAACATGAAATTATCAATATAATGGTACAGTTTGATGTTATTAAGATCATTTTGGTCTGCTAGGTCACCTGCCACTAAGCTATGGAAATACGTTGGTGAATGTACATAAGCCTGGAAACTGAAAGGTCCACTGCCTGCCTCCTCGTGTAAATGCAAACTGACCCTGCAATTCTTCATGAATGGGAATACTGAACAATACCTTTGCCAAGTCTAGGACACGGTGGTAGGTTTGTATCTCCCTACTCAATGTGTCCATCAGGGAAGCAATATTGGATACACTACATGAATGGGCAGTGTGATCTTATTTAGTTCTCTGTAATCCACTGTCATTCTCCACGTGCCGTCTGACTTCAGCCATAGATATTTTATAAAGATTGGGGTGTGCTAAGAAAAAGAAAAATGAAAATGATTTATGACTGCCTACATTGTTCCTAAATTACAGAAATTAAATATATATATATATACATACTTCTAGCTAAAAGGAATGTGTTAACTGTAAAACACTTCTTGAGACTTAAGAATGACTTAAGACTTACTTTTTTTTTTTTTTTTAAAGTATTGCACAACATTCTGGGTTTTGCTTTTCTGCAGCAGATCTGGGTGTTTGGTTCTGGGGCAGTTGTGCAGAGCTGAGAGTATCCACTTGGGTGACAGCCCACTCTGTGACACTTCAGTGTCGTGTCCACTTTGTAACCTTTTCTGCCTCCAGCTGGCAAAGTTAGTTTTCTGTGTCCGGGTGTAATGAACAACAAGGGAAGACTTGCATCTTGTAAGAGCGTGGTCCTTTCAGCAAGTCAGTAGGCAGGACTTAATTGCAGCTTCTGTTCTCCCACCTGAGCCTGTCTTCTGTATTTATACTGTTGGAGAGGAGAGGGGGGCAGAACTAATAAGGAAGGGCTCTTCTCTGGGACTGTTGTTGATTTGCTTAGGTAATAGTGCTGGAAAGAAAGGGGAAAGGGAATCATTAAAACAATGAGGGCAAGAAAACACTTCAGGCATCTGACAGTTAATTTCCCCTGCATTGGGTAGCACTTGCACAATGGCAGGCTGTAGTCAGATTGTTTCTTGCTTTTTGTCTCAGGTTCTGGTCTTCTCCCCAGCCCAGAGAACACCCAAGTGGAGCAGCAACACTTGGCCTCCTGCATACCCTCATATAATGCCACAGGAGGTGCTGGCTTGGTGCTTTTAATCTGTCAGGTGCTTCCATTATGTTTGCTTGATTCACTCCCCTCACCCTCACTAAGGCTTTTGTCTCATCAAATCATGCTGAAATAAATAATAAAAAAAAAATTACCACCACCACAAAAACAAACAAACAAACAAAAAAAACCCACAACAAAACAACAACAACCAAAAAAAACAAAACAACAACACCTTTTTAAACTAACCAAAACACCCAGTGCTTTTCCAAAAAGTAGTAGGTAATGGGAAACATTATTTTAGAAAGAAAAGGCTGGTGAACTTTGAGCAATGCTTAGGACTCTTTAAAGGAAAGCTTTGACAACTTCTTAAATCAGTCAGATGGTCAGGCAGCCAAATGAAGTGTCCAGGTATTCCTAAATCCCTCAGTCACCACCATCCCATCCCATACATGCTTTATCCCAGCCAACCTGTCTGCCTTTGCTGGAAGATGGAAAATAGCAACAGAGGTCTGTGCTCATGGGAAGTTCAAAGGGAAGAATGGTGCAAGATTTCTTGTGAAGAACCATGATATAAGAGCTAAGAGTGCTGTTGTGAAGGCAGCTCTCTTGTGTGGAAGGGACTATCTTGTCATCAGTGCCTTGCCACAGAAACATCAGGCTCTCCAAAGAAACACTGCATGGATGATGTGTGAATGATGGTGGTAATTGGGTGTGGCATAGCGTCGTCTGCTTTGGTTGTAAAAGGATACAGCAAGCAGGTGGAGAATGTTCTGTGTTGGTATTGTGCCTGCCTGCAATTCTGGACCCGTGCTTGAGGACCCTTGTCTGAGGTCTCTTTGTGCCTTCTGAGGAAATAACCTGGATTAAACCCGGATTCAGTTCACTGAGGGAATGGCAAGTTGTCCTTGTTACCAGTGAAGGAGCAGTCAGAATGCAATGAGGAACAACCTCTCTGCAGGCAGTGAGGAGGCTCTGCTGATAGGAGAGGAGACTTCCAAGACTGCAAGCAAAGGTGAATCAATAGTGTTATTTGCCCTCTATTCTATTTTTTACTTCTCACATGCTTACAGCCTGACTTCTTGCTAAGGGAGAGAGAAATAAAGCTTATATTGTCTGAAAAAAAGTCAGACTTGCTGCATGTGACTGCCTGTTTCTTCACTTTCTGCTGAAACCCACCATGCAGCAGTGATCCCAGGACTTGTTTTGCAGCTGGGTTCCAGCCCTCCAGCAGTGGGTGCTGCCTACCAGCCCTGCGCTGAGCAGAGAATGCAGCAGGCCTCCTCAGGGCTTGCGGCTGTGGCCATATGCCTGGGGCTGCTGAGTCCCTGCCTGAGGAAACTGAGAATGCGCTACCTTCCTTCTCCCTGTTGAGGGGAAGGAACATCAACCCAGGTTAAACCAGAAGCCCCAAACCCACGAGTTCACTGTAGAAAAGAGGCCAATAGAAACGGCTCCAACACCTGTGTCCTACTGCTGCACAGAGTGCAAAAGCAACCTCTTTTTCCGTGCCCTATCCCAGCCCACCTGTTTAATGGCGCAGATTTTTTCTAGCACAGCCTCCTGCCAGGCCAGTGATCTCCACAGGGATAGCTGGGCAAGGTCAGGCCGTGCCCTCTGCAAGCGGCCATGGGGAGGCTGTGCTGGGTGCCAACAGCTAATGAGTGCCTCAGGGAGTTATCTCTTGCTGATTTAAAGGGCCTAATTATATTTATGGCCATGTTCTGCATTCTTGGCCTTGGGCAGGAACCAGCTATGAGGTGACCAGGAATGAGCAGATCCTGCTTCAGGGACAGGGACAGCTGTCAGTGGCTGAAGAGAAGGAAGGGGCAGCCACAGCGTCCCCAGCCAATGCAGGAGTCTCTGAGGGCTCTCTGGGCAAATCATGGTGGCTGCCCCCAGTGACTCCATAGAACAGAACAAACTGTAAGGAGAGCTGCTGCCCTGCCTAAAGCTGAAAATAGAAAGCGACATCTGATCTGGCCTCAATAAGAGGACAACAGAGACAGCAGAGTCCATGAAGCTGGTCACAGGTGTGAGCAACACCCCACAGACCTTTGTTAAGCCTTAAATACAGCAGCTGCTGTCACATCAGGAGGGCTACTCAGACCTTTGGCCTCCTTGCTGCAGTGGGTGGTGCAGATTTGGTTGCTCTGGAGTGCCCAAGGGACCGAAATATTGTTCAAACACTAAACATTTTTGGTGAAGGAATGTTTTCACAGCTTTCTGAGAGTGCCTTTGGGGCCTTGCCAGATGGGTGGATGAAGGATCTTCTCATGACTTTTGAGTTTATTCATGATGAGAAGAATGCTCTACTTCAAGTAATAAGTATCTTTTTTAAGAGGAATAATGAAAATTTTAGGGTTAGTGTGGAAGAAGTACTCTGAACATAGCTAGCAACTTATGAAGGGTTCATGGAAATAAAAAGTGCCTGTCCTGCATCATTTTATGTATACCTTTGGATTTCATTAGCTTCAAGTTGTCCTAGTTTCAGCTGGGAGAGACTTTATTTTCTTTATAGTGTCTGGTATGATGTTATGTTTTGGCATTAGGAGAAAAACAATGTTGATAACACACTGATGATTTAGCTGTTGCTGAGCAGTGCTGTACAGAGCCAAGGACATTTTGGTTTTCAGCTCCTCATGCTGTCCTGCCAGTGAGAGGGGCTGGGGGAGCACGAGGAGCTGTAAGGGGACAGAACCGGGACAGCTGACCCAAACTGGCAAGAGAGATGTCCCACACCAAATGGTGTGATGTAAAAAAGCTTGAAAAATGGCGGGGAGTTGGCCAGGGGAGCAGCTGCTGTGTGGGGTCTGGCTGGGCACTGATCGTCAGGTAGTGAGCAATTGTGTTGTGCATACCTTGTTTTGTGTGTATGTATTTATATATACATATATATAATTATCATTACTATTATTTTTTTTTTCCCTTCATTTTCAGTTTTAGTAAATCGTTCTCAGCTCAACCCATGAGTTCTACATGGTTGTTTTTTCCCCTGACTCTCTTCCCCAAACCCTCTGGGAGGGGCAGTGAGCAAATGGCTGTGTGGTGCTGAGCTGCTGCCAGGTTAAACCACAACACAAGTCAAGATCTTACAGTTGGCAGCATCGTGCTCATAATTCAAAAACAATTTGAGTGTTGGATTAATTTCTCACCAGGAGGCATATTCCGATTATTCCACATGAGAAGAGTGCTTTAGACCATGTCAGATGGCAAGAATTAATAACACAGAAGCAATCAGAATCATATGCAAACTTGTTAGAACTTTACTTAAAGTAATTAGAATATGAAAGCTGTTGGACAATATTGGAGCACAGATCTCCCCCCCCCTCCTAAAAGAAAGCATAGATCATTCTTTTTAACAATGCAAAAACATACATCTCTGTTAAATACATAAACAACACTCAATTTTTAATGCAACACGTACTTTTATACTTTCGACCTCAGCAGTCATTGAAAAAATGTACAAAGTTTTACCTTCATTGGTTTCTTTAGAGGTTACAGAAAACCCACATGTTCAAAGCAAAGCAAAACATTCATTAAAAAACTAACGGGTAGCTTTAGGTGTACAACTTCAAGAAAACGACACTTCTTTCGTGAGAAATCAATTGGAATTCTACAAAAGTATGGCAGAAAATGATGCATGAGGTAACATTTCTTTTAAAATCTAGGATCCCTGTACTGTAGTTCCAAATAGGGCTCTGACTTGACACCTACAGTCCTTGGAAAATTGACTTGTTTAAATAGTCAAGGATTGCTATTAGGCATACTGCTTTGCATAAAGATAGCTTTATCCTGAAAGACACTGAAAGAATCTGAATCTGATAGTGAAAGATACTCTGAAACAAATGAATAGCAAAGGGATACCTCTAAGGTGAAATAACCATTTGTTCTAAAATAACAGAAATGAACAAAAAATCAGCTTTTTCCTTATGGAAAGGTAACCTTAACACCAGTGCAAACACAGCATTCCCTAAAGGTGCCCAGCTATTACTTACAAGCCTACTGAGAACAGAACAAGTCCTTGTCCTGCAGAATGCTCTCTGGACAGAGGCCCTCAGACATCCTCCTGCTCCTTCCCAGGAAAGCCTTCAGATGCTGTGCTGCCCTTTCTTAGGATGCTGCTTCAAGACACTATTCCCCACTCTCATTTTTTAAAAGTATTTCCACTAAACTAAAAACAAGTCAATTTTAGAGAACCCAAAGGCACAATTAGAACATGCAAATATGAGTTCAGTATTTATAGGCATTTCTGTGGTGCTGTTCCCTGCAGTATCCAAGCATTTTTCACCAGCATCAGTGAATTCTACCCTTAGAACACCTTTTGGAGATTGGAGAACCTGCTATCCTTGCTGTTACTACTTTACAGATGATGTACAGTGTGGTCAAAGCCATCCTGAACCTCTGCTCTAAAACCAATAATTTCTGGAGGGCATTTCTATGCAATTTAGCCCTCCTCCATGATGATCCCTGCTGCGGAGACAAAACAGTTCTCATCTGCTGCTTTTTCCTTTGGGTTGTGCTCAGCCTTAGAGTTCCTTCTAGAACTACCTTGTGGCTGGCCGTTGCTCAACTATGTCAAGATGGAGAGAGTGGGATGCGTGAAGCTTCCTTCTTTCTCCACTGCAAAAAGTGTGACAAAGTTTGGTGTTTTTTGTATTTCTAGCACTGCAAAGTTCAGGTTTATCTGATGTCAGCAGTGCTGTCTGGAAACCTTCATAGGTGAGTGAACCTCTCGTTAAAGATGACAAATGAGGGAGTGGCACCATTAAACACATTTCATCTATGCCACCAAGCAGAACAGACTCCTGGTCCCCAGTTGGGATTTCTGCAGCCTGTGGTATTAAGATTCTCTGCCAGTGTCACAGCATAAAGAAACACCAAATGCAGCATCAGAGGACCTGACGGTGACTGCAGTCCCAGCCACAAGTCCATCAATAAAAGGCAAAGTCTATTTTCCCTCTTTCAGAAGAGCCAGCTCTAGGGAAGATTGCTGCCCCCAGCTTGCTCATATTGGTGGAATGACAAACCATCAGGTTTTGTCCTAAAGAGACTCCGTGTTTCAAGTCACCTCCCACTTGGCAGGCAAGCCCTGGGGACCCATGGCCACGCTAGAATACCCAACCAAACAGTGCCCTGGGTGCTTGGCTTCAAGAAAATGGAGGCAGAAGCAACAAAAGCAGATCTAAAGTTGCAGTAGTAGTGGGGGCCAGTGTTCTGAATGAGTGACACCACCCGAGCTCAACTGCCTTTATGGTGGTGGTGGGAGCTTCTGTCCCATTGGCAAAAACACAGGTTGAATTCTGCATCTTGTGCATTTGCTTTGTAATAATGTATGGTGTTTTATGGGTAGATTTTTATTAAAAACAAGGTAAGTGAAGTGCACTTTGAACTGCATTATTGAAAGAGTGATTAATTTTAAAAAGCTTGTTGACATCCTCTATAAAAATGCATACGAACCTTCATTCTTTTTACAGGTTTTGCTTTTGCAACGTTGTAGCATTTGCAAGGTTTGTAGATAAAATCAGTTGATGTAAGTAACCTTATGGCCTGTAGCCTCCTAATTGTTTCATTACAGCTTAGGAAGGACATTGTGTTTACTGTAACAGGATGCAAAGCCAGAGTTGCATTCGTACTGTCTTAGAGCAAACTACAAAGCTGAGCATGCTAGTTCAGGCTCTGCTGCTTTCTGCATGTGTACTCACACTCTGCTTTCCATCCAGGCAGGATATTCATTCAAAGCTGATGCTTTTTTTTTCCATTTTTTTTGTTTGTGTTTTGGTGGAATTAAGGATATAGCTGTCACTTCAATTTTAAAGTACATCCTTTCCTAAGAGGGTATTTATATGCTCTCATTTGTAGACAGGCCAAGCTGTTTTATTACATAAATTAAGTATTATTTTGCATTATGTTGATTACAGTTATCAGAAAGGATAGCTTTTTTTATAGTGATGAATGATGCACATGAAAAGAAGGAGTTTCTTGCTGGTTGCAGGCTTTTGTACTTAGAGAGTTAACTGTAAAAGTGCAGTGCAGTTCTCACATATTTTGTCTGCATATACAATAGCTGATTTTTGCTTTGCCCTCATTGTAGGGCTCCCACAGGGTGGGAGGGTGCTTACAGCTGGCCCTGAAATATGAAAGTTTTGTCATCTGCAAAAGAATCTGTGAAGCTCAGATTTTGGCTTAAATATCTGCATTGTTGAGCTCTAGCAGGCACCATCTCTCAGCCCTGAAACCCTAAAAAAAGCCCAAACAGTCTTAAGATGACAGGACTATCCTAGGTTGCAGAGAACAATTTAGGTCAGATGGAGATGGCAGGTATTTATCTATGTAATCCCAAAGCAGGGCCAGTTGAGACATCAATGAGGTTGCACAAGTCCAACTGAATTTTAAACTTAACAGATTCTTGCTATCAATCAGCCTCTCCAACTCTTCGGGCTATATTTTAGTTTTCATCTACACAAAGTCCTGTGCTTCCCAGTGCTTCAAACAGTGCACTGCTGCAGGGCTGCAGGGCCCTGGAAGAGTTGGGCCTGGTGCTCAGAAATCACCAGAAGGTCAAAAAAAATGGCTTGAGTGAAGTAGTGAATTTGAATCAATTCTTTGAGTTCTTGATTTTAAATAAAGAACATCCCCCAGTTCCTTCTATTTCTTGACTCCTTTTCAGCTTAGCAAATGACAAGCAAAAAGCAGTTCATCAAAAAAAGTTTTCTTTTAAGCTACTTTTTAAAGACTACATTACTTGACATTCAGCATGAAGACTACATTTTCTTTCTCAAAATGCCAGCAGACAAAATAAACCTAGCAAGAGACTTCAGAAGAAAATAAAGAAATGTCTGATGAGGAGTGACAATATCTAGTAATCATACAATGCCAAGGAGGAATCTGGCAATGACTGTGCACTGCTTTCCAAAGCAAATCCACACAAGCTGCCCCAAAATCACTCGTGAGCCACGGCTCCCTAAGCACTCCACTTCATCTCCCTGCTCTGCCGCTCACTGCACCTGAGCTCAGGCTGATCTAATGTAGGTGCCTCACTTCATGCTGTGCATCAGCAGTCAACAACAAGGCATGCTGCACGCTGCTGAGAAGCCAAGAAGTGCCCATGGTGCTGGCGCTGCCAGGGGAACATGCAGCCCTTCAGTGGGCCCTCGCCGCGGCCTGCAAACATGGCGGTCTGCACATGCATATGGCTAACTTGGTACTTGGGAAATGCCAGTTTGATATCAAAGCTCTGTAATTCACCCTTTGTTACTCTGTTTAACTTTGTTCAACTAAAGCTCGTGTCATTTGCCCAGTTACTGCCAGTTAGAATCAGCAGGTGATGTAAAGTCTCCTCTTTGCACACCACAGCGCCCACATATTGGTTCATTTCTGCTTGAATACCTTTCTGAGATGTTTTCATGCTCGTCTCTCTGATGACTCCTCAGAAACCCAAATACTCAAAGCTGTGTCTCATTTACACATCACTTCTCACCCTTCAGTTCCACTCCAGCACAGTTAACAGGAGAATGGCAGAGCCATTTCTGCTCTCTGTTAACTGACTTCCACCCCACGATGCTGTCTTTAGGCTGGCTATGCCACATCCATAAGCTTTTCCATGTTCCCCACTTCTCTCCAGCTTACAGATCTAAATCCCGCTTTTTCTTACTGGTATCATGTCTGATGAAAGGTCGTTCTAATTATTTGTTTATGTAGCTTTAAACTGCAATTCTTCACACAACCTATTCCCTCTTTAAGATCTTATTTATACTTTGCTACAGCAAACTACGTACAGCCAGTAGTAAAAATGTATGCATAAAATTGTTACATACACACTCGTATATACATACCCTTACATATATATATTCATCTATTTATGCATGGCTTTCAGACACACCAATGGCTACAGGACCAACACTCAGGTATCCCCAGCCACACTGTCCCACTGATCACACCATGCCCACACCGCAGTGAGAGGCCATGGCGTGTCGCTGCCCTCCTGCTCGCACGCCATCCCGCGCTGCCTACGCCTCGTGGCCTCCCCGAGCACCCGAGGCGTCCTTTCACCCTTCCCTTTAAGCACGAGGCGCCAGCCCACAAAAAAAGAACTCTCTCCCTCAAAAGGCTCGTCTGTGCGCTGTGGCCTGCCCTGAATACACTGCATTCAGCAGCTCGCCCTCCATCTCCAGCCACTGTCTATCTGTCTGCAGCAGTTCGGTACAACCCGACCGAGAGCCAGATATAAATCTCTCCCATTCAAAGGAAATATTTAGCAGCAAAATGAGTAGGAAACAAAAGACTTCTCTGTTACTCACCCATCCTCTTGCCCAGCACAACTATCACTCTCGACCGCGTGACTGTGTAAGAGGGATGGGACACGCAGAGCCTGCCTCACCAGGGCCATGGCCTGGTAAGCATGTGGGGGAGATAAAAAATAGGTGTTCTCCAACTCCTGTTGGGTCTGTGAAAGGAAAACTCAGACAATTAACACAACCTTAAACATATTAAAAGCCTAGGAACATTAATCCAGAATCTACCAGTGTCCCTTCGACTTCCTGCTGTGTGGTATGTTCCTTCATGGTCTAAAACGTAAGATATAGGAGGCAGATCAACTTTTTTCCTCTTTTTATTGCAACTTCATTGGTATCATTCAGTTATTCTCAAGAAAGTATCGGAAGGCTGAAACTTCCATGAACTCAGTGTGATGATGCTCTGTCTCTCCCTCTCAAAAGAGACAACAGATTTCTATTACTTCAAAATGTATCGCACAGATAGAGATGTCATGAGCAACACCACAAAGGAGACAGCATTCATCAAAATTCAAGATCCCTTTGTGCGGGAAGAAGCCAACATGTTCACGAGGGCCTGCTCAGCAGAGACACTTGGGTGGGTAATGATTGCACCCATTCAGAGGGATTCGGTCGAGCTGGACGTGGCGGCACACGCCCTTGGTCCAAAGGCAGCCCAGTTGGACACACCATCAAATGGGGCTCAGATTGTCACTGAAGCCCTTGAAGATGTCACCAGATGGAGTTCTGGGTGCTGCTGTGGCACGTGGAGCTCCTTGTGGACCTGCCATCAGGTTGAGCATGCTAATATGTGAGAGCATCTGCTGGGACACCAAGCTCCCATATGGAGTTACATGTTGCAGATACATCAGCAGATTAGGTAAACCCAGCAATGTAAAAAATACACAACGCACAGGAAATGGGTATCAGTGTTATGCATGAGTCCTTACAAAACCTTGTGAGTACTTGCCTCCAGCCACTCCTCTGCTCTTTTTTTTTTTTTTTTGAAACAAAGGAATATAACTTCCCACAGAAGAACTGAAATTTTGACTTTTACAATACCATTAGTTTCACTCTATATGACCAATAATTTACTCTTTGATGATTGTTCAGTTTTCTATCTAAAACAAAAGACTCAGTGCTTCAACTAATCTGTTTTCAAATTCTTACTTTTTGGTGCAGTGATTACCTTGAACCCTACATCTGCCATGCTCAAAATTCCTCAAAAATACTTCTATTTGAATTTCATTCAAGTATCAAAAGAAATACTACACACAAATAATTTAGTGTTTTATCCCCACAGTTCCTGAAAAACTGCGTGTTGTGGATTTGGATACAAATGCACAGGAGGAATCAAAACTACAGGAACAGAGAAGTCTTTAAGCGGCCGCTGTGATCCGTAACAGTCTATATACATGTTACATACATATGACTGTTTGAGAGTATTCATGAATGCATATGTGTACAGTCTCCATGCTGCACAAAGTTCATTTGTTTGAGGACATTTCTTTTTGTCTTTTTAAAAAATCTCCTATAGTAAACAATGAGAACAACCTTGTGGTGGCACTGAAAACGCGTGGCTACTAGGTTTAATCTTATCCTTTACTGCCACCACTAAGCAACCACAAACTGATTTTTCAAGTCTGTCGTTGAACAAAATCACTTCTAAGTCTCCTCTTACTGCATCTGTACATATAACAAATTTGTACAAATGTCTAAAATAAAATTCATTGATACAATGCCTTTCATTCTAGCTACACCTGGTTACTAGTCAACTCGGTAATGTTTTAGAGCCATTTTTAGCTGAACTTGGAAAAATAAAAAATGCATTGTCGCTTAAAATAAAAGTACATAATATACAATACATATATTTATACACATGTGTATGTATATACACACATATATTGATATAACATTTTGAAGTAATGGCTAATTCTGGTCAACTTTCTGAGTGCTGGGACTACCTGGCAAATAATCTAGAAACTGAAGTTGTCCACAATTAAATAATCATTTCCACAACTTACAAAAATATATTTTTACTAAACAATGTTTAAATTAACTGGTTTGCAGATATACCATGTAGGATAACTGTATCCAGAATCAGAATCTGGCACAGCTACAAATGAAAGAACCCAAGTTACTACAAACTGGACACAGGAACGCTGCCCCGCAGCCGAACACAGAACAGCACAGCAATAGAAGCTGCTCCCGCAGCCATCATCAGTGGCACCCAAAACCATCTCTGGTTCAGCAACCTCTTACATACGCTTCATTTCCACTTGACAAGGACCGACCATCCAACCCCACACTCTACTGTTTAAGGCTCAATTAAACTGCACAGTGCCTGCCTTGTTTGCAAAGTGCAACTTGCTGGTTTGAGCAGCTTTCCACTTCCATGACACTGTTAGGAGCTAACAAGTGATCATGGTCCCTAATTGAGGACTTGGAGGATTACCAGTACTTGAGCTTCACCATACTGATTCTGATCTACTGCATAGGTAAATATATCATAGCAAAACATACATATATGTATATATATATACTTATATATATATATACATCTGTGTGTGAGCATGTGTACATCACCAAATTAAGAATTTCATGGAGCTATGTGTAGTAATGTGACACAGCATGGTATCCTGCACAAATTACCTATATTTTTTCTTTCAATATACAGACACCAGAAATAAAAGTAGAGCAAATCAAAGTTAAATCAGTGGACAAGAACTTTGGTAAAGCTTGTCAATTTTTATTTTTTTTATTCAAATACAGTCAAATTATATCAGCTGCTATCACCCTCTTCACAAGAGGAAAGTGCATGTTTTTTATTTTTCCTAAAGAAAACTATGTGAGGTGATGCTTAGCTATTCAAATAGATTCTGAATTAAATGCTTACATTTTTCAAAAGATTTCTGTCTTTCAGATGGAATGAAAACTAAACAGAGTTCTTGTCCTGTGTGTATTTTATTTATCGTATGCATATATATATAAATATATATACATGTATGTTTCTGTGTGTGTATATACACATCCACACACTTTTAACAGGAGAGAGGAACCTGTTTTTCCCCATATGGAGACTTACACGTTCCTCCCTGTATCGTACCCTGTGCAGTATAAGCTCTAGTGATGAGGCCAAACAAAAAGATATAGTTCACCATAGTATATTAGTTTATGTAGCAAAGTCATTTTCAAGCAAGTAAAATAAAGCTCTGTATTCCAAACTTCTTTTCCTTAACATTTCTCATAAAGAAAAGGAAGGAAAAGGAAAGAGGGGAGGGAGTAGGATTATGGCAGTAGCACTGAGCCAGTGGCACTCGTGTGTGCACACAGGCACACGCACACAGCAGGGCTTTGGTTGACAAATGCAGATTGTCCAGAGAAGATGGATGCATAAGTAAGGAAGACTCTACAGTGATGCAATTGTATCTTTTATGTTTGCATGGAGTGAGAAAACAAATTCAATTGAAAAAGAAAAAGCAAAGACCTCTTTTTAGGTCCCTCATCAGTGTGAGCATACTCAGTATGCTAGAGAATTTATTTGAAACCTTTTAAATCAAGGCCTCTTTATTACAAAAATAAAAACAAACAAACAAAAAAGTATGAGAGACGACAAGATGCTGAAGTGTCACTCCAATCGTCCCTATAGAGAACAATTGCATCCCATTTCTTATTCATTCTCTTCTCTCATTTCTACGATGTCTGTCATTTCCTCCGTGTGGGGTATGTCGGTCATGGCAGAGTCTTCACCTTCTGCAGATGTTTCATTCTCATTCCGCTTCTTTTTCTGGATTGAAACAACCACTCATAAATATGCAAATATGTTGTTTGTGAACTCAGCCCTACAAACTTTGGGTACTGGGAGAAGCAAGATAGAAATAATACATTTGTTAGGGTCTGTAAAAAAGAGCTGCAATATTTGTGTCATATTCACGGCTTGCCTCTAGCAAGTTGTCATAATTTAGAAGATTTTCATAAACTTTTGGGACTCAGCTTTCACCTTTCTAACATAAATGCAATAATGCATTTCTTATGCTAACAGACATCCAAGACGGGCGTCACTGTGACCGGAGGGAAGAAAGCATCTGGACTCTTTTACATCATGGACATTTTATTATTTAAAAAAAAAAAAAAAAAAAGCAAATAACATACTTACGAAGATAGGTTGCTCTAGGGAGAAATCTGAATTTCTCAAATGTCAAACTTCAATAATTTTTAAGATGTAAGCATTCTGGCTTTTCTTGGTATTGCTGATTGACTGTGAGCCCCCACCCCACCAAAGCCTAGTAATATTTGAGTATTTTTGGACAGCAGGAGCGGGAGGGCAATCAAGAGTCCTATGATTCATCCAGGATGTCCTGGATTAGTAAAGCTAAGAAGTATTCAGCCCCACTAAAAACAAATTGAAGCATCTGTTCCTTATTATCCATTTCTCAGCAGGCTGACTGGTCTTTACTGAAAACACTTGTAATGCTGACAAAAATACTCCCATAGGTATTACTGATTCAGCTGAGTTTAGGCATATCAGAATTTCAGTATTTCAGAGGTGTCTACACAAGTCTTGATTTGCAGATCTCAAGTACTGAACACTTTAGGTGAAAACAAGTTGATCCATACAGCTACTAGTTGGCTCTGCCACTGTCACAGTGGCTGTGGAGATGATGGTGTCAGTTACACGCCAATTCTGGTAAGGGAATAAATTAGCTTGGCGCAGCAATTACTATTAAAAAAAAAAAAAAAAAGTAAAAAAAGTAAAAAAGCAAAAAAAAAAAGTACCATGTCCCTGGCTAGAAGCACTCTTTAAGCTACTTCTGTAACAACAAACAATCAAAAGGTAAGTCAAAAACAGATAGATGTATGCTGTGAAACCTCAGGCCAACAACAGCCACCTCAAAGTCTATAGGTCTTACTCTGGTGGTCAGGAAAAACATAACAGACTAATCACGACAGGGATCAAGGACCAAGTCTGAATTAAGATCTGCTTTCACCAGATCCTGCAGAGCCTACTTCTTACCTGTTTTCGATAGACGTAACAGGCCGCTATTGCAACCATAGTGGATTCTCCCACAAACCCTGCTAGAAGGGACCCTACTCCCAAGGTGGCTCCATGAACTCTGTGGGTAGCAGACAACAAATCAGTCATGGTTGTGTGACAGTGCATAATGCATAATTACATTTCCACTGGCGTGTAGAACCAATCAGTTTTTAGAACTATTTCCTTCAAAGAAAGGCACTAGAGAAGAGAATAACTGGTATTTTAAAGAACTTTTTTTGTTTTTTAACTTACTTCAGTATTTAGTAAAAAAACACATTCTGAACCCAATTCCCAACTAAGAAAATCTGAATGCAGAATCTAAAGACATGTGAAGTAGAATAGATTCTTTGACTTTATAAACAGAATATTCCGATATCTTTCTTAACAATGCATTTAACATGATGGAAATAAATTTCACATAGGACATGTTTTTGCCTCTCTGGCATTTGTGCATTTTTTTCAAAACGGTCATCAGTATCTTGACTGCCTACAGCAAAGTCACACTTGTAAATCTGTAAATTTTTTTTTTCTTTTTTTTTTTTTCCCTAGATATTGCAACCATTTAGAGTTTATATTACAGTTAGTGTTTGGGGAAAACATTCTGGATTAAGCAAATTCAGGAGACAGGACAGAAGATAAATCAATTCCATCATCTCTGGGAAGAGCAGAGAAACTTACCCCAAGTAAGGCAGAACAATGAGACTAGTGATGAGGACAATAATCCGCAGCACTGAGCTGGGTGCCAACACAAATGTCTTCTTTAGAGTCATCAGCCAACCAGTCAGGTGTGCTCTAACTGTCACTATTTATGAACAGAGGAAGGGAAGGGGAAAAGGAGGTAAAAGCAGTGAACATCAGTCATTTCATATGAAGATTCTGTCATGCAGAGAGCACTGTTCAGAAAAACACATGGTGAAACTTCTTTCGGGTAGCTCTGCACACTGGGAAACTCTACTAGAAATGAAGTAGCTTTAATGTGCGAATTGTTTAAACAACATGACTTTATTTAGTATTATTTATATTATATATTATTTTTATATTATATATATAAATATATAAATTAATATATATTAAAAATATATACATTATATTATATATATATAAAAATATATACATTATATTATATTATTTTATTTATATTATATATTATATTATATATTATTTATATACTTAGTATATATATATATATTTAGGATAGGATAAGATATATATTTAGGAAAGTCAACAATCCTTCACGGGAGCTGTTCTCTTACAATAATTTTATTAAATACTCCGTTCTGATATATGCTACACTACATCACATAGCATTTGTTTACAGAAGTTAGAAACTTTTTGAGAGGAAACATTTTGAGCAGTGCTGTTAAGTTTCTCTCCTGAAATACAGACATTAACTAATATCCTGTTTTTTATGATGTGATGATATCTGAAAGTATCATTCAGACTGGCTGCTGAAAGGGAGACTACTGGAGGCAGTGTCACGGTGCAGTTATTCCTAGATGCTACACTGAAGTTAACTGCAGCCCTGGTAGAAGAACAGTACATGGACATATGTATCTCTAATGCTAGCTCTGTGTGTTCTCATTGAACTACAATAGTCTTGCTTTGGACAGCCAGCAGTCTGCCTAACGACACCCTGCTCTTACTGCAACCCTTGTATCTTGACTACTGATGTAAACAGCCTTGGTCTACACTGACTGATAAAAACAGTGTTATCGTGCTAGGCATGCATTTAACCATTCTTACATGTACAGCCAAGTCTGAATCTATGGCCACAGCTCAAAGCTGAGTTTTTGTTTTCTTGTTTTTACCTGGAACTGGGAAAAAGGAGAAGATGCGCAAAGGAACAACACATAGCTCTGCAAAAGCAAAGTCTACTCCAATTATGTCAACTAAAATCTTCTCTGACACATTTGGTGTCCAAAACATCACAAAACAGAGCTGGAAAGGAAAGACAGAAGAACAAAATTAAGAAATGTTTATATTTCAGAAGCAAAGCACAATAAAAGATAGGATCTCTTGGTCAAAAATATTGGGCATTTTTGGTATTAAATGAAGGAAGAAGATGCATACAAAGTAAAAAAAACAAAACAAAATAATTTGCCTTTCTATAGCATTGACAGATCTGTAGCATGCAAGGATTAAGGTTTCATCATCACTAAGACAAACATATTTTATTATTAACTTTAATCATTTTCTTTGAATATTCTTGGAGGTTTCTGCCTCTTTGGACACAGACCAATGAAAGAATACAAAACCTACGTGCTACAATAGTTCTGACTCAACAGGTTATGAAGCAGTCATAGAAAAAATAATACATGTGCAAGCCTAACAATACTGGTTTCCTGCACTTGGTTTCCAACAACTGGAATGTTATGGTTCAATCTGACCGTAACCAGGAAGATGTTGGAGGTAGGCTTTTTAAAAGGCTCTTCAGAGAGCCACCTGGACCATTACCAGTTAGTGTCTTCAACAACAGCTGATGATGACGAACCCTACAAAAGTTATGGGCAACCTTACTGTTCTCAAGAAAGTGGAAGACAGATTTTCATCTCTCTTAAATCAATCAGAATCATTGGAAAATAAACAATCAGAAGCAAAGCTCCTAAAGATAATGATTTGCTTCAAGAAGTGTATTCAAAGCAATATTTTCACAACAATTTAAAGAAGTTTTCAATAATTTAAATGCAGAAAGACTCTAAGGTATAGTGTATTTGTACTCAGCTTGCATTCAAAAACACAGACTATGCACGTGTACATGAGAAGTATGTTAACTTTAAAAACAATTCCTGGTCTTCAAGTTCCTCACATAGGAAGGCTGACACACATGTAAGGACTTCTTTTTATGGTGCCTGCAAATGGATGTACTTGAATAGTCTAATTCATACAAACACAGTAAGAAGCTTTGATATTTACAGTGCTTGCTCTGTTTAAGACATCCATCTCCCTAAAACAGATTATCAAGTGTTTTAGCAAAATAAACAAGAACCAGAGACATGATCTAAGATCAGATGACTAAACACATTGCTGTTCATAGAGCTGTTAGAATGCAATACCTGTGACAGTAAAGTAAAGATCTTCAGCAGCCATAGCCCTGCAGACATGGTGCCTTCAGGCCACAAATCTACTGGGTCATGCCATTTAAGGAATTGCTGTTTAGACCATATATGAAAGGAAACCTTCCATTAAAAAGCCCACAACAAATGGTACAGCAGCAGTACATGCCATTTAACCTTCTGGTCAGTAGTGGGGCAGTGCTTTAGTATGGACTGATGGGCCTCTTTGCAGCTGGTGGTTCCAGCTTTGGTTCAAGGCACTCCCCAAGGAGTGGTACCAACAGCCTCTGCAGGACTTTGTTCTGTAAGAAGGTACACCAGAGCTCCTTTCAAGTATAAGTGTTTTTGCGATTAAAAAAAGTGATTTCTTCCTGCTATTCTCCCAGAAGGAAGCAAGCTGACTGAAGAGGGCGGAACTTGGAAGCATAAACGCCAGTGTGTTATGTAAAATATGCACATTCACTGTTAAATTTGATGGCTCTCCATGATTCTCAAAGTATGCTTTTATTTTTTTAACCTATAAGTTAACATCATAGTAGCTGTCTCTCTTATTATCCAGGTGTCACATCCATACACATTCAGATGGCTTCTAAGCCAGACTTTGAAGTTCTACCGCCTCCAGAGCGGCTGGGATTTCACTCCTGCTCTTTGCTTGTGTTTCAGAGATCGTCCTTTCTATTGAGCCTACATGTATCCAGCACATAGAAGTTTCTAAAGGTCTGTCACCAAGCGATCTGTGGGAGGTCTCACATTCTGACAGCCTGAGCAGTGGCAAAATCTTTTGCATTGCTGCCAGAGGAATAGTAACTAGTTTTCTTCCCTATTTCTGAGTGTAGGAAACAGTTTTTTTCCCCAACAATTGAACCTTCTACTCCATTACTTTGAATCCATTTTGCAGTGCATTTCATAGAATCATTAATATTGGAAAAGACCACTAAGATCATCTAGTCCAACCATCAACCCATCACCCATGCCCACTAAACCACGTCCCTCAGTGCCAGAATAATACATGGAAGAAGGTAAGAGTGGAAGGCAAACTTGCATCATATGTTTTTCTGCTTTAGCCAGCATTTCTGCCCTTGCTAAGCTACTTGTATAAGACACAACTGAAGCAGAGGGGACAATCCAGAGCAGAGAAGGTTGTGTGGCTGAGAAACTGGTTATTAAAAAGTTACTGTAAAGTGACAGGGCAAATTCTTTCAGTATCATAGACAAGGCAGACTGCAGTGATTTATACATGCTAACTGTAAAGCAACCATATTGAGAGTATTTCCTCAAATCTATCTTCAAAGTCCAGTGAATAACATAAGATGCAAACATGTCCACTCTTCAATTATAGCTTACTGTTTTCTGAAAACCACAACCTTTATGTTGCTAATACAATTAGCATCCTACTGAGCAGTACAGTTACTACCACTGAAAGACTCCATATAAAAAAGCAACTATGAGAATTATTCTCAGCCATGTTCTCTTTGAAGTTAAAGTTTATTTCTAGCCTTGAGAGGAACAGACTCAATCTCCAGACAACTCAGACAAGAGAAAGGCCAGCTTGCAAATCAGGAATAACTTCTACCCAGCTGGCACGCAGGCATCCCTCCTCAGCTGTTGCCAACTACAGACCCACCTCCAATCAGCAGTCAGTGCTGATAAATGGCATTAAAGAGCACTTCTTATACAGTAGCTGATGGATAAAGATCACATTGATTGCTAAGCTTAAGGATAAGCAGTTTGGGGCCATGAGGTAGTAGAAGGGCCTTCTATTTCTGACTTGGCACCCTTTTGGTTTTGTAACGTTGGTTGAACATTCATTTTGCTAAGAGATTCCTCTGTGTCATTTTACATACCAGTGACTTTCTCACTGCTAACGGGGTACACAGCTGCACAAAAATAAATGAATGCTTTGCATCATGCAAGCTCTTTGTAGTTTTATTTCTAGATTACTTTCAGTTTAAGAAGTTTCTTGATTACACCAAGGACAAATTCAAAATATAGTGGAAAAAAACCCCAAGCCCTGCTTTAGGAAAACAGTAATGTTAAACACATGAAGCAGGAAAACTATCTTGGCTATGGTTGAGGTATACAGAAAAGAGATGAGTCTCAGCTTTTTCTGATGCTAAGAATTGTGATTATGTTAGTAGAGAGTGAATAGTAATTGGAAAGGAGAGCAGAGAAGACAGATCCAAAGCAGTGCAAGCAGTCCAGCAAAAAAGTGTGGCACACTGACTTGGAGATGGGACCTACTGGAGGAAGCAGTGGTAACACCTTGGGGCTCAGACCAGAAAAGATCTTAGAGAACAGATTTACACCCGCGATGTCCCCAGTCTTTTTTGTAGGTAAAAGATCATTTACCTTCTTCTGCCCCTTCTCTCCCCTATATCTCTCTGAATATGCCTGCAATGTTAAAAATAGAGTAAATAGGCTTGGGTAGGGTTACAGTTATAGCTTCATTTAATCTAACCAAGAGCTGAAGACAATACAGTAAAAGCTTCAGCACTGACTAGCAGCATGCGTGCATGCTTACACTCTGCAGCTTCAGGCTGTGATTGCAGTTGATTACAATGCCTGCAAACAGCAAAGAATATTGTACTTAAGAATTCTGCAGTTGAGCATTTTAATGCTTTGAAAGTATAAGGATTTCTCTTGCAGAATTCTAGCAATTCAGCTAACTTGATTTTCCTCTCATATAGTATGAGTGCAGGATGATATTAAAGCCTTTTGTCATTTGTCAAACGGCACTTCAGCTGAGAAGTGGTCACTTCAAGAACACAGGAAAAGAAGATAGAGGCAGAAGAGTGAAATACTACAGAGAATATGGAGGTCTGAATAAATAAGACAGTATTTATTACGGTGTTATCTCTGTACGAACACTAGCCTGAGTACTTCTGAAGATGTTGTAATCACTTGAAGTGATTTGAAGGGTTCTGCAATTAGGTAATGTGTCTTTAACTGATCTGGTGTAGTAAAATTTGAAAGACGTTATTAAATATGTCAACTTACAGCTGTGTGAGAACCAATACAGCTGTACTGGATCAGATCAAAGCTCCAACTAGATTAGTGCTGTCGCCCTGCTCAGTATTGCTTGGGTATGCCTAAGGAAAGGGCACAAAGAGAAGAAAAATGGCAGAGTAAGAGATGCCCTTTCCCCAGTGCATGGTCTGAGCTGCTGGCAGCTACAGATTTGGGCATTCCTCACTTAGGTAAGGCATTTGTAGAAGCATTGTCAATAGCAGTCATGCACCATTATCCCGTGCAGCACTATTCTGTGCATTCAAAATATCTAATGTTAGTGTTTGTCTTTTGCAAACCAATCGTGCATTAAAAATACGTCACCTCAAACCCTTCACTTGTGACTGAGATGTTCTCAGTAAGTACCTGTGCTTACTTTCATGCCAAACCTTGTTTTTCTCTTCTAGCAAATTCAATGTCCAGGCATGCTGAAAGAAGATGCTTTGAAAACTGTTGCTGTCAACAAGCCTGACAGAACACACCAAACTGTTATTGCAGCTGGGAAGTCATCCAACTGGTAGTGCTCAAACTTTTCCTTAATCTCTTATTAAGTGTACTGTGTGCATCTGACTTTCACAAAGGCTTGTAAAAGACTGTTCATGAAACTTTATGTCAGATGCTGCACACGTGAGTTCTCTGGTTCTCCAGAACTATCACCATTTGGTCTCTTCAAAGGCCCTAAAGCTTCTGGAAGCTATTTCCATTTATTCTGGTTGTTGACAGGGATTGCTAGACTTCAGAGACCCACTGCAGAACACATTATGCTAACAAAGGCTATTGTCGTGTGTAGAATAATCTGCAGGGTGCCAGATTGATTTGCTTTTAGGCACTTATGGAAAACCCTGCATCTCTTGGGACATTCACTGATAAATATAAGGA